GCGCAAACACCATCCCCTCCCCTCCCTCTTTCTGTTTTCTCTCCGCTCAATCACCACCTCCTCTCTCTCTCGGGCTAGACATCTGCCAGCGCCACCAATTCACCACCGCCAGGCTAGCCCCAACACTGATGCCTCCCTTTCACTGATGAATATGCCGGTTATTGATATCGGGTGTCTCAAATCTTCGTTGCGCACCGGAGAAGAAGAACTTGAAAATCTGTGATCAGCTCTCAGCTCATGGGGTTGCTTACAGGTCTGCTTTTGTAGCTTGTCTCCATTAACTTGTTGTACAGACACCGTGGAACCCAATATTATTTTGCTGGTAAAATAAAAATTATTTTTTGCCTATAAATGATCATTTGAGCAATCAGATTGTAGAAGCCTAGCCCCAACAGCTTCTCTCTCTGCCCTTCTACCAGCCCAGCCCCAACACAACTCCTATGAACTCTCTTTTTCCTCATCCCTTTGTAATGTACATGAAGTGTTCGTCAAAATGCCTAAGAAAAATACTTACATTTTGTTCCACACGCACACAACACACAATTGGGGTTTTGGGTTGAAGGGTTGTGAGGTTTAAAACAGGTGTTCATTTTCAGGTGGGAATCAAAGGTATTGCTTCATCAACAAATAGCTGGAACTTAATTATTGGTTAAATGTATATTGCATAACTTATGACCTGATAATGACATGTGCGGTAAGTTGTAGGATTATTCAGGGGTTAGTGCTTGGTATATTCATATCCAGTTAGCAGCCACCTTTACCAAACTATGAATGGTCTTCTGTTTTGCATTTATATAGTTCTTTAAATGATTGAATTTTTTCTGCTTAGTTTATTCTTTAAATGATTGAATTTGTTTTGCTTAGTTTATTCAGGATACAAGTTCACCTTTTTTTGATAAAAAGCTACAGGTGAATGAGTTTTATGTGGGTTATGGGTTGTTTGTTTTTTGCATAATTCCTTGGATTTTGATTGTTTTATACAGGTTCCAAAGTGGCCTGAAATGGTTCCTTTAGCTGAATACAGGTTCCAAAGTTCAGGTACGTAATTGATCCACTTTGCTTTGTATAGGATTGTTGTTTAAGGTGCACAAAATTGGTTTGGGCTGTGGACTTTAAAGGTTTTTAGGTTGAAAGGCCAGTTTAAATGCTTGATGTCAATCTCTTTGTTGTTTTGCCTCAATGAGTAATTTTAGCACCTGAGATTATGAAGCAATAGGCATGATTTGTCTAAAAAACGATAACTCACTTTTTGAACTTCACCAGTCAAAAGAGCTATAGGTTCTGAAAATTAAATTTTAGAACCAAAAAACTAGAAAGTTTAAAGAGAAAAAAAAAGTAGTCATTTTTAATGTTCAATTGAGTTTTAATTTAATCTCTGTTTGTATGTACTGTCAATAATTTGGAGCTTGCTCACAAAATGTTTGAAAACATGTTTGATGATGATTAGTGGGTGTGATGATTAACAACCTTTTTTTGCCATCTCATTTCTTTGTCTAAATCTTTAGGCATTGGTTAGAAAATTTTAAGCCTCCACTAATTTATGAGGTATTGACCTAATGGTTGTATAAGAGCTTACAAGAGGTTAGTGTTAATTGGTCTCAACTAGGCTAATTCGATAGGTAGGATTACCTATTTTTCACCTTTCCTATTCATCTTCTTTTCTTTTTGTTTGCTATTTTATTTGGGTGAAATATGATTTTGAGTTATTTGGTAGATTCTGAGTTTTTGCCATCTCATTTGTAGGTCAAATGAGCATGGTGGTGTCATATTGATTTCTTGATCTTGAGAAGGTATAAATCTTTTATCCCCCACACATTCTCCCGATCATCACACCATCTCTCAACGGTTTGAACGCACTCAATTTCAACTTATTTGGTTGAAATAAATAACTAATTCACTTACTTGAAATGTTTTGGTTTTTTGGTTTTTGCAAAATTAAGAATTTTGACAATTTGCACTTTAATAAGACCGTCGTTTAAGATTTACAACAAAAAATATGGCACTTTACAAGGAAAAAATTTATTGGTTGTGTACATTATTGTCAGTTACAAGGAAAAATTTATTGTTCATAACCTTTTTTAACTATGGTTGTAGCTCTATTTTTATAAGTACTCTTTTTTTTTTCTTAGCCTGCATTGTTAATAAAACATAGTATCTTAATGTTGATATTTGTCATTACTTCCCTATGTGCTTGACACAATGCAAACTTTCATTAGTAATANTTTCTTGGCCTGCATTGTTAATAAAACATAGTATCTTAATGTTGATATTTGTCATTACTTCCCNTCTTAGCCTGCATTGTTAATAAAACATAGTATCTTAATGTTGATATTTGTCATTACTTCCCTATGTGCTTGACACAATGCAAACTTTCATTAGTAATATGAATCTGGTTCTCTTCCTACAAAGCCGACGACACCTAGTAACATATCAAAAATAATAACTATTCTTTTTCTTTATTGAGACTAGGTACCTTATGAGTAGCCATATATACATGCAATGGCGGAGCCAAAAATTTTGTTTTGGGTGGGCATCCTAACTAAAACTTTTAATTTTTTTTCTTGCAATCAATAAAAGTAAAACAATATGATTACATTATTATATTATATTTGGTTATTAATATACATTAAATACAAAAGGGTCAAACATCGATATACGCGTATATAAACAAAAAAAAAGTGATTAATTAGAACCTCACAAAAAATAGGCTAATTGTAAAATAATTAACAATTGAGCTCGATGTGTCTTTATACTTAAAAAGCTTTACTTTAAAATTTCATTATCAGTACCATTAAAAAAAAAATTTCTATATACACTCAAGCTATAAGTGATTTATTATTGAGCACTCATTTCATTGTGCAAGCAAATTTTCACAATATTCATAGCTTAAATAATTGTAAAATGAACTCCACATATCAAAAACTTACCTAAAATGTCTACAAGAAGAGATGAACAAAGCTAACAAAAAAATATAATTGTATGTCTACACATTTTTGTCTCTACTTCCGCAGATGATACATAAGTTTATTTATAAAAGCAAGATAGGGAATTGCCAACATTCATTAACTTGTTCAATTAACATCTTGTGAGCAGCGCACCATTGTTGTATCGAAAAATCGAATGGTAAAAACGGGAAGGGTAATATGGAGGTCAGCGTAAGAGTAATGGAGGAGAGGACAATGGTAATGATTCTTCTGTGGAAGGGAATAGAGGGCTGCTCGACCAATTGGCTGAAATCGTGAAGGAGATGGCTGGAACAAGCGCTTGAAGTCTTATTTTATTTTTTTTCAAGAATTTTAGCTGAGACTAGGATGATCCAAGGGTTGTTGAAAATGATAGTCAACGCAAGTTTGATGGTGATTGTATTAGTTATGATAAATGACTATAATTTTGTTTACGGAATGATGGAAAAACAGTCTTTTGTAGTTATGTTTTGTGTAACTAGGTTTGAACATCTATGGGTAGGTATTAATATCTCTTGCTTGGCTTGAGTCACTATGAGTTTTATTAGTTTTGGCTTTTATTCAATATCAAATTTATATACCCAATTGTAATAAATCTATCTTTGAATTTAAGACGTAATGCATTCATCAGTGTAACTATGTATTAGTAATGCTAGATGAACTTAAAAAAACAATAGTGTAACTATGTATTAGTGTGGGTGGATGAAAGTGGTGTAATGGGATGTATTGGTGTGTTTTGTTGCTTAATTTTGTTTAGAATTACTTAATTTCAAAAGCTTAACGCCAGTACTTAAGCACACATACTTTTTTATGAACCATATTCTTCCTTTTCCTGATTGATACTATTTATTTTTGGCTCAAAATACTTGATGGGTATGTGTTAATCTGGTTTGTAAAGTCTGCGCATGAATCTGAGAGCAAGGATATAAGGATTGAGTGTGCTGAGCTGCACATGAGAAACACTCGTCTAGTAGCTCTAGTAGTAGCAGTAGAGGTGGAAACCATGGTTACCACAATTCACTAAATCCTTAACGATCCACGATTTGGACGACCCCAAATTATAATACTAACCCTAAATCAATTTACTTTATAGAACAAATATAAATTCATATTAATTGACTACATGCATATGATGTTTATGAATATAATATTGTATAGTAGTGAAAACGATAAGAGTTCTAAAACGAATTGCGACCTAAAATNTATAGAATATTGTATAGTAGTGAAAACGATAAGAGTTCTAAAACGAATTGCGACCTAAAATACTGTACCAACTAAACCTACCTCCATTGTATCGTGTACCCGTATCATTTACCAAAGCGACCAAAGATCCTGGTAAAACGTTGGTGGAAACAGCCCCTTTTGTTGATGTTGTGTCCAAAGTGGTATCTCATTGCATTCCAGTTGGAAACAATGTAATTCAGTTGTGGACAATGCTTGAACAACCTATATTAATCAGGAATTTTAAATTCAATTGAACAACATTAAAATAGACTTTATTTATTTTTTCTAAACCATAACCATTGAAACGATGTTGATTCACTAGCTAGTAATTTAAAAATAAGTCTTAGGATAAAAAGATGTCATTTCAGCCCCAAAAAACCAAAAATAAAAAAAAAAAAACAAAATCGTCACGTATCGGACGTATCGTATCGTATATCGTACAATATGGTGTCAAAACGATACAGAAACACGATACGTATCTTTTTTAGGTGTATCGTGACGTATTGTACAATACTAATAACTATGATTAGGAGAGATGGCTCACATAAATTAGAGTGCTTCTGATGTGGTTGAGCCAGGGTTAGAGGAAAATGGGGAGAAAAATTTACCCCCATTGGAGGAGAATGAAGTCGTTTCAACATCAGATGGGATTGCTGTAGCNGATGGCTCACATAAATTAGAGTGCTTCTGATGTGGTTGAGCCAGGGTTAGAGGAAAATGGGGAGAAAAACTTACCCCCATTGGAGGAGAATGAAGTCGTTTCAACATCAGATGGGATTGCTGTAGCATCTTTGGATGCCAGGGGCCTTGCAGCACAAGAGAATGAAGATAAAATGTTGGTACAATGCTCCAGGAGCTGATACCAGTAATGGTGCGGAACATCTTAAAGATCCCGAGGTTCCTGAATGCTCGGATATACAGGTATTGCCCTAATCTGTTCTTTTTTTTTTTTGGAGGGGGGCATATTTTTGCTCTAATCTGCAATGAGCAACAGAATGCATTATCATATAGTTGTTTGTTTATTCATTTCGAAATTATATACAGCCTCTGGGAGATTCAGCTCTAAGACCTGTGCAAACAACTTCCTGGAAGAGCTGCTGTGGGCTGTTTGAGTTGTTGACAGGCTCCAATAAATGATTTCAGGTTGGAATTTTTTACAATAGTACTGCATTTGATTTGTTTCTTCATTTCTGGCTATATAGTGTGTTTTCCTTTAGTTTAAAGTTCTAAAACTTTATTGTCTATTAGCTAAAATAGGCTGCTTTTTCAAACTCATTTGTCTTTGCTACTGTTGTATATGTTATGCTCTTTTTGATCAGCAACAATAAAAATTTTCCTATGTATCAATTTGTTCCTTTCAAAACATATACATGTATGCTAAAAACAACATTGTACAAATCGGTCATGTGCACAGGGGGGTTCCACGACAGTAAAATGGGTTGCTTAATTAGATTTTTGGTGGCTACTGTTGACCAAATTTAGAATGATGTTGGTCAAGATGTGGGAGTTGCTTTATGAGATTTTGTCGCCAAAAGACGAAACAATGTTACCTGGTACGACACCACCTTGGTATCTGATTTTGTGGGACGCTATGGTATGTAGTATAGGTTCGTATACATGATACGACACTTTATTACGTACGCGATACGATAGAAGTAGGTTTAGTTGGTACGGTATTTTAGGTCACAATTCGTTTTAGAACTCTTATGTAAATCGTTTTCACTATTATACACCATTATATATTATAGAACATTCATAAACACTAAGTTATCATTTATCTTATAGTTGTGCTTGATAATATATAATTATAAATCTATATACATATAGTCAATTAATATGTATTTTAAAAATAAATTGATTTAGGGTTAGTATTACAATTTGGAATCGTCTATTTTGGTGATCTAGATCGCGAATCCACCCTGTTTAGAATTGATGTACTTAGATCTTAGGTCATTAAGAATTTAGTGAATTGTAGTAACCATGAGACGAAATAAGTATCAAGGCAAGTCAATTTCAATTTTGAAGTTCAGTATCTTGGTTAACTGAGACCGTCTGAAAACTGAATGCATAAATATATTTACGACGGAAAAAAAAACAAAATCGAGACTAAAAAAAAAATAAGCATCAAGTATAGACACAAAATCAAATAAGAAAAAATAACAAGCATAGGTATAAATATTAACAAGATAAAAATAAATAAATAATCTGAAAGTATACATATATATATATACACACACACATATAAATTCTAAATAAAAAATTATTAAACTTAACAGAAATATCAAAACATACCAAATAATATTAACTTGTATCTCACTGAAAAAAAATTTTTGTTAGTGCCTGAGGTGGGAGAGAGTGAATGAAATCATAATTATGACAAAATATAAAGCCAATTTATTTATTAGGATTAATTACAAAATGTCCCTTCCAAGTTTAAGTCGTGTTGCAATTAACTCCCTCCGATTTTAATTTCAACAATTTGCCCCCTCAAAGTTTTTGTCCAACTAAATTGATTGACAGAATAGATGAAATGTAAAAAACCCTTTTTCCCAACTCCGGCTGCCTCCTTCCCCAACTCCGGCTGCCCCCCAGGCCGCCTTCCCTAACTCCAGCAATACCACTAACCCCTCTCTAGCAACGCTTCACCTCCATACCCAACACTAACNTTGTTAACTGAGACCGTCTGAAAACTAAAAGAGTTCAATTTGAGCATCTTATTTGCAAAAACTAAAGACTTTTTATAACATAAGGGAATTAATTCTTGGTTGGGTATAATTAACTGAAATTCAGATGAGATAGAAAGACTTAAGAGATTAAAAGCGACTACAAGTACCTACAATTATTAAACATAAGAACAAAAAAATGAGGGAAATTAAAAAAAAACTAACATTTTACATTCCTCCACTCGAGGTGGTAGTATAATTTCAAGATAAGGATGTTAGTGAGATTAGAAGAAATCTTGAGGGGTTAGTGTAATTTATCTTTAAATGAATTATTTGCATATTTGTTGAAATTCAAGGAAATTATTAATTGGTCAAGAGCACTGTTATTCTACTCAAATTTTTGCCCAAATTTTATATCTTAAATCAATGCAGATGGTTATATTAGTGAGGTCCACTAACTCACCCCATTATTAACTAAGCCCAGTCTATGCTATATACTCCTCATTAATAAATAGTTAAATTCATTCATTCTATGGACACCTCTTTAAAGAAATAAGTAATCGTAAGAAAAAAATAATAAAAAGAATACAATTTAGTTTGAATGCATAAATATATTTACGAAGGAAAAAAAAACAAAATCGAGACCAAAAAAAAAATAAGCATCAAGTATAGACACAAAATCAAACAAGAAAAAATAACAAGCATAGGTATAAATATTAACAAGATAAAAATAAATAAATAATCTGAAAGTATACATATATATATACACACACATATAAATTTTAAATAAAAAATTATTAAACTTAACAGAAATATCAAAACATACCAAATAATATTAACTTGTATTTCACTGAAAAAAAAAATTTTGTTAGTGCATGAGGTGGGAGAGAGCGAATGAAATCATAATTATGACAAAATATAAAGCGAATTTATTTATTAGGATTAATTACAAAATGTCTCTTCCAAGTTTAAGTCATGTTGCAATTAACTCCCTCTGATTTTAATTTCAACAATTTGCCCCCTCAAAGTTTTTGTCCAACTAAATTGATCGACAGAATAGATGAAATGTAAAAAACCCTTTTTCCCAACTCTGGTGGCCCCCTTCCCCAACTCCGGCTGCCCCCCCAGGCCGCCTTCCCTAACAGCAATACCACTAACCCCTCTCTAGCAACGCTTCACCTCCATACCCAACACTAACCTTTCTACCTATCTTTGGCAGCCCCTTACCTCCATACCAAGCACAGGAAAATCAAATACAATCCATCAAAATTCAGTCCATGTTTATTTCCATCACCTGAAGACTTTTCTTTCTTTCGCCAACTAGTAAACTGTCCATGTATATATAAACTCTCTCTCTCTCCAGATGGTTGTTTCCTAGTAGAGGTAGATTACTTTTGGGGGAGTTTCAGTTGGGGATGGATTTCGCCGGATTAGTGAAGTTCAATTGCTTGGGGTTTTACTGGAGGATGGATGGGTTGGGTTTTTCACCAGAGGAGCGGTTTTACGGACACTTGCCGACTTTTGTGAGGAATTGATTTTTTTGAGATTTTCTATTAAACAAAAATATGAGACGGGGATAATTTTGTATTTTTGATTGAATTTTAGATCACATTACAAATTTTTGTCACATTTCCGTCATTTTTAACGGTGGATAACTAACGGAAGAATTTATGAGGGCAAATTGTTGAAATTGAAACCGGAGAGAGTTGGAGGGAGTATTTTGTAATTAATCCTATTTATTAAATGGGGTGTATATAATATAGGGTGGACTTAATAATTAATAGAGTGGGTATAGAAGGTGTCTGTTTAGTTGTTTGGTAATGAAAAATTAAATATGTTTTTTCCCCCCAAAACCATCCCCATCCAACCTAACCCAACCCAACCCAGCAACGGCTCCCTGTCCTCTCTCTCTCTCTTCCCCAAATTCATGCCAATAGGTGGCGGCTCCCTGCGCAAACACCCTCCCCCGCATCCCCTCCCCTCTTTCTATTTCTCCCTCCCCTCAAGCGCCCCAGCCCCAACAGCGCCCTTCTGTCTTCTTTGTGGGTCATTGAGAGTTTCTTTGGAGCAGCTTTGAATCTGTCTTCTTTGTACTGGGTATTGCATTTTTGAAGAACTCTTCTCTGGCAGTACGTTTATATTATGTCCTTTCTTTAATTTTTTTTATTTTTTTTATTTTGGGTATTGCATTTTTGTATAGCAAGTTCCATTCACCTGTTTTGATGAGCTTTTTTTGGTGGCCTCTCTTTCTTTTATAGCGTAACCTTAAGTGATCTGTCTTTCTTTTGATTTTAGCTGAGTTTCACTATTAAGTGATTGCATGCTCTATTGGTGACTTCTCAAAGAAATTGTGGTTGATTGCATGCATCCTTGGATTTATATTTAACATATATAGTTTTTGTTGTGTCAATTGCTTATTGATAATTGTGGCATTGTTGCTTATTGAAAGAAACATCCATGGTAGTGAACCTGCAAGCTGTTTGATCAAATGCCCCTGACATACATTCTCACAGAAATGGTTAAGACAAAAAAGAAGAGAAATTAGCTCAGTCGTTCAAGTACGGGTTCTTTGCATCCAATTCAAATACTAATGAATTAGCTCTGTCGGTTTCAAATATTAATGCTAGAATGATGGCAGGGGGGATTATGTTGCATTATTGTTAGTTTTGGTGCCTTCTTTATTAAAGGCATCTAAAATGGATCATGTTTATTATCAATCAGCTTGAAATCTCTATTACCCAAATGATGCTGCTACCCAAATCTCTAATATCGAAAGGATGGCGTAGTAAACATAGGAGACCATTTAGGAAATTACAAAAAACTAACCAGCTGAGAATAAGAATGACCAGGCTTCTAACTGTTAAGAGTACTTAACCTGCGTCAATTTTTTTTTATCTCATGTTGTTTTGTATGTATTTCATCTTGATTGTTGCTCGGGTGTTATAAAGAGTTCTGATTTGGGTTTAGTTAACTATCTTTTGGCTTTCTCTTTCTTACGGTGTTGCAATTGTTTGAATTGAAATTGGTGTGAGAATTTATATTGGTCCAAATTAGAATTGCTAATTCGATTTTGTATAATATTGTAAATTGTAATTTGATCACACATAGTAATGTAGGTTGATTAGTTAACTTAATGTTTAATTTGGATTGCATAAAAAGGGTTGCAGTCGTTCAAAGAAGAGTACAACTTATGTTGGACCTAGGCTTATTGTTCAATTAACTTTGAGAAAGTATGAGAAGGGATTAAATTTGAAACATGTTTAAATGTGTTCATGTCATTCTGTGTTTAAATGTGTTCATGTCACTCTTTACCAAGAACATTGATGTATTCGGAGAAGCTTTCAGCCTTTGTGGGGTTTTGGATTGATCTTATTTTTTTCCCAAACAAAAAAGACATCATCCATTTTTCAGGCCAAAGATAACTTCCTAGAAGATAATCAACTTCCTGTGTTCACTTTTTGGGGAGGTGACTGTGTTCTTGTGTTCCTAGAAGACAATCAACAAATTTGTTTTATGATCTGTGAATCGATCCATGTTTTATTATCTGTGAATCGATTATATGTTTGAGCTTCTGTTTTGTGCTTTGGTTAAAGAGTTCAAGTAGATTACTCCCGATTGATTTTGTTCACTAAATCAAAAAGTTCATCAATTGTACTTCTGATAGTATATTGATAAAAATATTAGGGTAAATATCATAATTCGTCCCTAAATTTTGTCAGAAGTTTCAATTTGGTCCTTAAACTTTCAAATATCTCAATTTAGTTCTTCAATTTTCAATTTTGTCTCAATTAAGTTATTTCGTCTAATTCCATCATTCGATAAAAAACATACAATTTAACTCTTGCTTGATTATTTTGCGTTCGTTTCTCAAAAGTAGGGTTGATAGGATTCAACTCGAGTTTTATTTGTATTTTAAATGAGCTGATTTTTAAAAAAAATTTTAAATTCCTTTAAAAAATAAGCTTAAAAAGTTTGACTTATTTATAAAAAATAATCGGAATNACAATTTTTTAAGTTCCTTTAAAAAATAAGCTTAAAAAGTTTGACTTATTTATAAAAAATA